GGGCGACCCTTGGGTGCCGATCCTGTCGGTGTGGATGACTGTAGGCGGTGGCCGCCGGCGGGCACGGCCCGGGTCCGGCTGACGCCTCTCCGCCGGCACTCGCAGATGCTGAGACAAGTCAGCTGGTACACAGAGCGGCCGCTGGCCGAGATCTCACTCGGCGGCCTGCTTATCCTCGTGGTCATCCGAACCATTCAGTACAACATGACCAAGATGAGGGTAAGTCGTGCCGCCGCTCCGGGCAGACTGACTGATGCCGGTGTGAAGGAAACACGGCGGGGTGGAGGCTGCCGAGTGACTTCGCGCGACACGTTGCTCTCCAAGACACGGCGAGGAAATTATACTCTGCTGCTCAGTGGGAACAAAGACATGATGCGGAAAGCTTACATGGAAAAATATAAAATTATGTAGCTAGGAAGGAAAAGCCGAGCTTTGTTCACCCCTTCACAATGATCCCGTGATCACAATGATCCTGGCATCGGCGAGGGCGCCGCCGCACAACGGCAAAACAACGATCAGGGCTTAAGAGTTACGAGCTAAAACGATCAAGGCTTAAGAGCTCAAGAGTTACAAGAGTTTCGGAGATAAGTCCGTCACCTCAAGACGTGTGAGAGAGTTCCCCACGGCCGGCCCGGCGATATCGCGGCGATGTCGATGACCGTGGAGTATCGATCAGAATGTGAAATCCGTCATTGGCTCACGCCGGCTGCGGTTTCGCATTTTGAGAAAAGTTTCCAGTCGTTTCAGAGAGTTATTTCAAATAGCCTGCGTGGATGGCGTTAGGTTCATGGCATGTGCCAGGGAAGGAGTGTTGCATGTACCATGCGACCGTGTTTCAAGCTTTGTTATTTCAGTTAATCGCCTAAGTTTGCCCTCGCGCCTGCGCTAGACAAGACCACCAATGAGTTTGCACGTCGCACAACGTGACGGTGCGGCCACCCCGGGCCTGGGTTAACCCCCGTTAGTCAGTGATCAGCTAACCTTTCCTATCAGCCAAGCCAAACAATGGGCCCGCCGTGGAATTCGTGCACGGCGGCGGGGTGGCGAACCCAGCATCAGTTTCCTCGGCTACCCGGAGGTGGCAACCGAAATATCACTACAGTTTGGTACGAAAAATGTTCAGAAGCGGCTACCATCTACCAACCTATCATAGGCGAACGGTGTTTTGCGATAAGTGCCTTAGCTGTCACCCTTCTTCAGCAGTCCGCCAGCGCGGCGGTCGTGCTGGCGTGTGGTCAGGCCCAGTGATGGTGCCGTCACCTACTGTTTGGGGTTTTCGGTTTTGTAGTTCCAAGGGTTTAGCTGAAACCACTTGTTTATGCTGGTATGGTGCGGTAGTGGAGGAACGTGTGCGAATGTAAGGCCATGATTGAATCAATATGGATTATTTCATGGAGCTGCGTGTGTAGCGTTGTACATGTGTGTATGTGTGTGCGTGTGTGCGTACGTGGGCTGACGTTGTTGCCGCCCGACAGGACAAGTACCTGCACACCAACTGCCTGGCGGCGCTGGCCAACATGTCGTGCGAGTTCCGCCAGCTGCATCCGTACGTGTGCCAGCGGCTGGTGTCGCTGTTCGAGCTGCTGGCGCGCCGGCACGGCCGCCAGCTGGAGCGGCTGCGCGCCGCCGCCGACGCCGCCGCCGAGCCCGACGACGAGGCCGTTCAGGTGTGCGCGCCGGTTCCGGCGGTGCCGGGCCCGCCTGCCGGCCTCGTCAGGCCGTGATCAGGACCGATGACGCGGGCGTCGGCAGTGTGTAGGCGCGTGCATTCGGACGGTAGTTTGACTCTGGGACGGCCCCGACGGCAGACTTTGACTCGGGGTGTCCAGCTTTTGTGACTGAGTGATATGTACTCGTGCTGAGGCAGTGATTGGATGGCATGACGATGAGATGATTGCATCCAGTGGGACTGGCCGAGTCATTGCCGTGTGTCTCTGCGGCGCCTCTGCTGCAGCTCCGGCTGGTGTGTGGTGTGGCGGCCGGTCGGTGTGCCGCTGCTGGTGCCGGCTGGACGCCGTACTGAGCCGGCGTGTCGCGCTCCGCAGGACCTAGCCGTGCTGGAGGAGGTGCTGCGCATGGTGCTGGAGATCATCAACTCGTGCCTGACGTCCCAGCTCCCGCACAACCCCAACCTGGTGTACACGCTGCTGTACAAGCGCAGCGTGTTCCACCTGTATCGCACACACCCGAACTTCCAGGACATCACGCAGAACATTGACACGGTACGTGTAGGGACGCCGGGACGGCCGCGCTGGTAGCCCGCCCTCGGTGGGCGAGGGAGAGCGAGAGAGAGAGGGGGAGAGAGGGCGGTGGGCCCATTTGAGGTGTGCTCGGATGGCGGTGGGCCCGCTGAAGATGTGCTCGGATGGCGGTGGGCCCGCTGAAGGTGTGCTCGGATGGCGGTGGGCCCGCTGGGGGTGTGCTCGGATGGCGCGCTGTATAGACGGTGCACCAACCTCTTGGCAGTCCTGTGCCTGTTCCGAGGGTGTGTGTTTTGTATGTCCCCCGGTGTGCGTTGGAGCTGGTCCAGGCACGCCCACGCTCCGGTGTGTGGCTCCGGCCGTCTGCGACAGCCGCCGCCGTACGCTCGCCGCCGAGCTGTGCCTGGCGCTGTCGACTGACTGTACTTCCGCTGCCGCCAGATCCTGTTGTATTTCAACTCCAAACTGGACAACCTGCACAAGGACATCGGCGTGCGGGATGTGCTGGCCGTCATCGAGGACGGCGCCAAGAAGTTCCCCCTGGAGCGGCTCAAGGTGGGTGGTGCGGCCTCGTTCCGCCGCGCGGCGTCCGACGCCAGGGCGCGGTTCATACGCGTGCGGTCTTGGAGCCGCCGGCCGGTCGCCCAGCTTCGGGCCGCCCTGTGCTATGCGTGGGAGGACGCTGGCTCGTTCAAGGTGTGGACGCCGACCCGTTTGGGGTCTGGGCTGAGGTCGTCTCCCTTCGCGGAGCGTGACGCTCCTTTTCGCCCCCCCCCCCCCCCCCGCCCCTGCCTGCCCGGTCTGTGCACCAGGCGGGCACCGATCTGGGTTATGTAACGCTTGGACAGAGAGCGACGCCGGGAGGGGTCGTGTGTTGGAGATGAAGTGAGCTACTCACCAACGCCTTGTCTCCCTGCTCCCGCAGAAATTCCCCGAGCTGAAGTTCAAGTACGTCGAAGAGAACGAGCCGGAGGACTTTTTCATCCCGTACGTGTGGTCTCTGCTGTTTAACGGGAGCGACCTGCGCTGGAGCCCTGCCAACGTGTGCCTGTTCAGCCCGGAGGGCACGGAGTCTTGAGGGGTCCGCCGTGGCGCCGGCCGGCTCCGCTACCGGCCGTGCGGGCGCGCGCCGGCGGACAGCGTCGCCGCCGCCGCCTGCCGTGGCTGGCCCGGAGCGCCGGTGACACGACGTGCTGACTGCGGAGTGGTGAATGTCATTTATTTATTGACCCGGTTTTTGAGGAGATGGACTGGGTAGGGGAGTAACGTCTCGCCGCTGGGTATATCCTGCCTGTGCGAGCAGCTGGTATAATGCAGAACGCACGCGTGTTGCTCGGCACCTTCAGGGACAGGCGTTTTCTGGCGGGTTTCAGTTAGGAAATGCTTGTTTAACATTCTGTATCTGGTATACATCCTTTTCCCCAATGATTTATGGGTGGCAAAATATTCCTGGCAACGTTGTGTATGTTTGCTCGTAATCGGTACGACAAGGCTGACCCGAAGTGCAATGAAAGGCATTCTTGTTGAGCAGTGGGCAGATTTATCTTAGAATATTTAGACTGTAAATGCGGCCCAGCTCTGGCGAACCTTTCCGTTGCCTTTGACGGTCAGGGGCGTCTGCCTCACTTCATCGCGCGTGGTACCGTGTCTATTCGACGAAGAGGCGTCGGCGGGCGACGCCACGGCTGCTCCGTCTGCTGCGTCCCTGCCAGCGGCGCGGACCGTCCGCCGCCGTGACCTCTCTGCATCGCCACAATGCCAGCTCGTGGCCGGCCTCGCCGCATGACCTCTGGCTGCTGCGCCAGCCGCGCGCCCCGCCCTGCAGTTACGCCAGGGGCGCGCGGCCCGGGCGGCGCGGTCGCAGCTTGTGATAGGACGCAATCTTCGCTGCCGCGCACCGCCTAGATCCCCTCAGCTCATGACGTGTTTACTTCATGCACAGTTATCCTGCTTTCACCGCGGATGTTTGTCACGGGTGTGAATGGATGGCGGCCTCGGTGCTGCCCGTGTTGGCTTGCGTTGTTACAAGTAGTTACACTGTTACGACGCAAATTGATTTAATAAACGGTATTGATTATTGTGACTGTGATTGATCCGTTAGGAACAGATTTGACATCTGTGTCGGTGGAGGCAGGATCGATCTCGAAGAAACCTTCGCCATAAATTGGGAAAATGCCTAAAGTAGCGTTACGCCTTTACTGCACTGCATTTTCCACTGCACGCCTGACTGGGTAGCATTTCTGTATCGGCCTCGATGATTATCTCAGTGGTTCTGTTGTTCATGTACGTTTTAAGGCCCATTATCTTAGTGACTGAGGCACTGGCGACTTATGTGAGCATGTTCATTCAGGTGTATTACATTGGCATGTCCTTTCAAGTGCATTGCATTAGCATGTCCCCTCGAGTGCATTGCATTAGCATGTCCCTTCAAGTGTACTGCAGGGATCATGGACGAATTTTGTGCCCACTGTGCCGCCCTGGTTGGTATGTGGGTGAATTGCCCCGAGTGGTTCAATCTCGACATTTTGAACTTACCGGGTTTGATCGTAACATTTATCGGGATGATGCACCGACCTGTTCGAGGCTCAATGTAGGTATGGGTGCGGAAGCGTGGCTATGGAACTTTTATCATGTCACGCGCTTGAGGTTATGTGCAGAGGAAACCTATTTCTTGCCAGCCTCTACGACCATAGTAAGTGTTCAAAGCACAAAGGTGCTTTGCGCGAAACATCACGAGTTCAGACCAATCAAACTTGTTTTGATTCCTTAAAGCTTACGTGCTAATGAACTTAGTTTGCTCTGAATTCGCCATGGTGGATCACATCATGACCAAATTCAAGTGTTGATGGAGCGCATCTGAGATGTTTGCATTTGTAATCATATTCATTTTCTTCGGTTTGGATAAATCTAATGCAGCCCTCAACTGCACATGTGGACAACCAGGCGTCTCAAGCTCTAGAATCGTTAATGGTGTGGAAACCGGAAAGAACGAATTTCCATGGATCGCCGCGGTGAGGTAAGGTACATGTGGATGCCATCAGTCTGGGTCAGTATGTAATGAGAGACTTCGAAACGTTTGCGTTGATACATGCGACGTGCTTACGCATGCTTTGGATGCAGCTTACCGTACCCAGCACCACCGGCTTCGCGAGTCCACGCGACGAAGAGAAGCGACTTCTCGTAGATTTGCTCACCGATCCGCTAGAGCACAAATGCTAAGGCGGAGCGCGTTGTGAACGCAGCTTTTGTCTTTTACTTTGTGACAGTGGTTCCGTTGACATATTTAACGTCAACATTAAAAGTTTTCCCTGGGGTGGTTTTGAGCTCGTATGACGTTTGCAACGGTCACGGGCCTCCATAATGTTCATTACCCAACCATTATACATCTCCAGAACCACTAGACAAGAACGTGTCGCGCACACATTACCAAGGCGGAGCGTAGGGTGGCGCCGGCTTTCCATATTTGTTTCCATCGAAATCAGAAGCTTGTGGACCTTCATGCTGAGTGTTTCAGTACACTCAAGAATCCAATGAAGCTGATCGTCCGGGGTTGGAGGTCCCACGTGGTTACCTGAGAGCTCGGGGTGTCTCAGCTGACGCGGTCCGGTGTGATGTGGCGCCTCACCTGAGCGTGCCTCGGTTGGCAGGATCAAGACATCCCCTCTGGCGACCATCCCGAACCTGCCGTACTGCTCGGGCAGCCTGGTGTCGGACCGGTTCGTGCTCACCGCCGCCCACTGCCTGGCCAAGCTGCGCAACGAGGACTCCTGGCGGCGCAGCGAGCTCGTGTTCGGCATGCACTGGGCGCGCAGCGACCCGCCCGAGGTGCAGCTGCGTAACATCAAGAGGTAGCGTCCGGCACACGGCAACAGGGGCCGCGCCACAGGCCGCCAGCTGGTGACAGCTCGCCCGAGCTGGACGCTAGCGCCGTAGTGGAAGCGCAATCCTTGGATGCCTATTTCCTTACGCTAAATAATCCTAGATGAACTTACATTAATGGTTTATTAATTCCTGTACCAACCGCAATGGACGGCTGCACACATCTTTCACCGAATTCATGATGCAAGCCGTGGAGCAATCAAACAATTTGATGTCCCTGTTAGCTCGAGCATAAATCATCAATAACACAGCTGTAATACGTATTCAATTGGTATTTGGTATATTATCCTCATATCCCGATGAGCTTCCGCAGGGCGGTGATGAAGGTGCAGTATCAAGACACCAACAAAGATTACGACGTAGCGCTGCTGGAGCTGGACGTGCCAGTCGAGATCAACAAAGTCATCTACCCAATATGTCTACCCTATAACCTCAAGTGAGAAGCGAGGCGACGAACGATGCAAACCGTCAGTGACGATGCGTCCTGCATGACTGGCTTGTTCATTGCGCATAACTCCACCATTGCATTGCCAAGTTTATGAAAAAGTTACGTGTCTTGATGTGGTGCAGTACCAACGCGAGAGGTCGATGCTGTTTCTACAGAAGCTACCTCCACCGTCAATGTGTGCCGACTGAAGAGGACGGCAGCCATGAATCTGGTTGGCACTGCCAGCTTAACCACAGTTTGGTGCGGATGTCGCCGGCAGGTTTCCTGCGAAGAACCCGTGGGTGGTGGCTGCGGGCTGGGGAAGGACCTCGTACGCTGGACGTCAGTCCGAAAAACTCATGAAGACCAAGGTATCTACGCAAAGGAATGCCAAACACAGTAACATCGGTCGGGTCCTCGCGTTTGTGCAGCAGCTTTGGGAATTTCCATTGCAACCAGGTCAAGGGTCGTGTGTATGTGCGTTTGACCAGCCATACTGATAGTAACGCCATCGAATGGTGCCCGTTTCCGGTGAAGTCCATACTGTCCTTGCCGACGGCGTCCGATTGGAGGAGCGCCGTTGGTCGGCTTGTGAGGGCAGTGTTTGCTGCGAGTCTGCACCGCCGTAGTGGCGCGTGGCCGCGGGCACCAGCAGCTGAACCGTGTGCCGTCAGTGGATGGAGCTGGTGCGCTGGGACACGTGCGAGGCCAGGACCAAGTACCGCTCCCGCAGTCTGCTCACGGAGCGCATGCTGTGTGGCGTCTCCGACCTCACCGACGCCTGCCTCGGCGACTCGGGTCAGTCGGCCGGGCCATGCCCCGGACCGGTAGCGGTCAGTGCCTCCCCCCCCCCCCCCCACTGACGACAGTGGGGGGTGGGGGACGTCGATCCCAGCCAGGCAGAAGACATGCTCCCCGGCTGTCGTGATGGATGCGTTTGGCACACGACACAGCCGGGCGCATTTGGCGTGAGGAACACCGACATGGTGTGACTGGGAGCAGTCATCTGGCTGTCTTTTAAGCGTCGTTATCCGTATTACTGGCGTGATGGACGCAGACGCCAGTCACCGCCAGACGGTGCTGATGCCAGCACACTGGGCCTACCCCAGCTGTTGGGGCGACATGTCCTCGTTGTCCCATGCGTCAACGATAATTAAAATTAAAAAGAATGTCTGAAATGAGACGTCGGGCTTATGCAGTCTTCAAAACACTACACTTTCGCACTTTGCAAAAGCTTTGCGTTCCACGCGTTGCTCAAACGCTTGTAAAATGTCACTTAAGCCCCCCTGTTGTCATTGTAACTTCGAATTTTCCGTTGTCAGCTCTGACTGTTTCCTGTGCCCTCAGGCGGACCGCTGATGTACTACCACCCTCAGTTTTACCGCTGGTTTCTGGTCGGCGTCACCAGCTTCGGCTGGGGCTGCAACGAGGTTAACGACCCGGGCGTCTACACCAACCTCTTCCACAAGGACATCTTGGGCTGGGTGACATGCGCGAACACAGGCGAAATGTGCAAGGCCTAGCTGAAGAGCGCTGGAGCCGCAGGCGGCCCGACGCGATCTGACGATCCGCGGCTGAGGAGGGCGACGGCCAAGTCTGGAAGCCCGCCGCAGCATGGGCGGGGCGCGGCCCGCGGCGGCGGCCGTCACAGCTCCCGCCCGAGTTCTGCCGCTGCCTCCCCACCGCTGGCAGACGCGGCTAAGCTCCGTGCTTCTCGGTAGCTCTAATGGTAATGGTGTGTAGTGGAGGAGCAGGGTGCTAGTTGAAACAGTAACAAATCTGTCATCGTACGCAAACTGGGTACCCTGAAAACGAGCATGTTTTGTTCTCAACTTCTGCGCTCAATGCATCGGCCTTCAGAGCCCACCGCATACGGTTTTAATCAGCTTGCGTCACCCACAAAATCGTCATTGGCATCAAGTGTATTTGAAAATATATACATATACATTAACGTATCTACGCCGCTGGCGGTAGAGATGTGCTGTAACAACGGTCAGACCGGCGACGGTCCATCAAAATGAGACACATGTAATATACGGTCAGGCCCGTGAGCGCAGGACGGACTAGTTGCAGTGAGATCACAGCAGCTGAACGGTGATTGCATCTTCATACGGACGTCAGGTAAACACACGGCAAGCACGCGCAAATAGACTACTGATACCACATAATGCTTACCAGATATCAGGGATGGTATTCTATCTACGCAACCCACATTTTTCCGGGATCTGGCGGAAAGAAACAATGAACAAATGTGACTAGGACAGGGGTGTATGCCACAGCGTTCTATAGCGTGCCATCGAGGGTGCCTACGAAACACTGAACTGGGTCAGCATGCCCACGTGTAATGTATTTAAGGCCACGATCGCATTGGACGGAGAGATCATGTGTGAAACGTTTAGACCTTTGCATTGACGATTACGCATCGTGTCAGCAAATAAAACGCTGCTTACAGCTTGATATATAGCTTCGGCCAGCAGCAATATCACTGTTTTCCCACTTCCCCGTGAAAGAACGACATCCCCTGCTTGAAACTCTGCCTGCCTGCATGTGAGCCAATCCAGCGCGTCTCTCTGGCCCCAGACTGCAGTGGAGGTCTCGCGTCCTCCAAGTCCAGGCACCCAGCATAAATCTCACGCAAATCGGCAACGTCTCACCCCCGTCGACGGTTTACACACTTCTACAACAGCCAAAGCCGACGGACGGCCCGAGTGTGCTGCGGTCAGCAGCGGCTGCTGAGGGCGTATAAAGGTGCGCTAGCCGGGTGCGCGCCCAGCACACGCGAGGCGACCGCGGCGAATCGTCGGCGACCCGCTTCGAGCCGCCGCCCTCGCACGTCCGCTGGGCGGCGTCCGCGCCGCTGCGGTTCCGTCCCGCTCCGACCATCTCATATGATCTGGACGTAGTGCAGGAACTGCTCCATCTCGGTGCTTGCCGCCTCGTCCGTGGCGCCGGTGTAGGTCTCAGAGATCCTGTGCACCTCAACAGTGCCGGCGTCCGTGCACACGGCCTGCGACAGGGACCGGTGACACCAGCGCGTCCGCAGGCCAGGCCGGCAGACACCGGCAGTCAAAACCTCCCATACAGACGCTGGACAGTACAGATTGTATCACTACTTACATACAAAGTCAGACTGCCATGTTTTGGAGGGAGACGAGTTACCAACATTTAAAAAAACAAAACGTTTTCTTGCTGCTACAGCACTTAACATTTTCACACAACGGGGCGAGTTTACTTCTCACTCTGTGCCTCTCCTCATTCCCGGCAGGCATCTCAACTGGCGAAGCGCAACGACACTACTATCCCACTGTCTTTCCACGTCTACAGACGTCCTAAGTAAGCCCCTTGTATCACTTGACCACTTGAAGCTGAATTAGCAAGCCTTTCCAGGCGTTAAACATCACTTTAAGTCTATCCATGTTCATTCGCACTGTCCACCGTGTCATGGTGCGCGTCATATCACGAACATACATACTCAGATACAATGTACGGGACAGCTAAATATCAGGCCGTTTGTGTTTGATTATTCAGAATGTTTTTTCTTATAATCTGTACATTTATTGGTGTATGCAACTGAGCTACAGAAACACCAATAATTTACCCGCAGTGTAAAGAGTAGTCTCCGATAAGATGGTGTGAGCAGTTTTCCTCTCTCGCTCAAAGTATTTTGATTCCTTTCACTGTTAGCAAACCGCTTTCAACCGCCTTTTGGAAGGCTGGCCGCGTGACGGACCCCAGTGGGTACCCATTAGCCACGCGGAGCAGGGACTAACCAGCACGGAACACAACCTCGATTGTAGTGGAGGCGGCTGATGACACCCACCGGTGGCCAAGTGACCAATTTAAGCGACAAAGTGACAGCCAAGCGAGAAATCTTCTTTAAATGACACACTGGTCGCAGCCACCCGAGCATTTGCCGGGAGCCGACCGACGTCCGCTGGCCGCCGGCGCTCAACCTACCAGGTGGGTGACGGGCTTGTCGCCCTCCGCGCCGTAGCTGAGGTCCATGGCGGTGACCTGGCCCGACTTGACCTCGTCCGTCTCGGCCGGGAATATGTCGCCGGCGCTCAGGTCCCACACGTGGATCCTGCAGCATGGAGCACACGCACGGGTTGCTCGGCGTCGAGCCACGCGGCGACAGACGTCATCCCACCGCACCCACGGCCTGCCGCTGTTCGGGTGGGATATGTGTGGGGTGATGTAACAATTGTACCGGAGACACAGGCTGGGGAGACGAAGTCGCAATAATCCCCGCTGACGTAGTAGAAAGCTAATCGTCGCTAGCGCTGACAGGCCACGCGAGGCATGAGACAGCTTCCCTCGACATGAATGAAGCCAAGCGAGGGCTCCTTTTTCCACGCCCACATACGCAGCATGCCGGGTGGCGGACTGTGATGCAGTCGAGCGGCAGCGGGCTTTCCGCACGCGTGTCCCCGCTAACGGAGCCGGCGGCGCCAGCTGGGCACGGAGCAGCGCAGCCGCCGGCTCACTTTGAGTCGGCGTCGAGCACGAAGAAGACGCAGGGCCGCGAGCGAGACCAGCCGAGCGCCAGCACGGGCGCGCCGGCCGTCGCGTTGTTCCAGGTGATGAGGGGCCGGTCGCCCGAGGTGGTGTGCAGCCGCAGCGAGCCGTCCGCACCGCCAGCCAGCAGGTACGGCTGGTCGAACGGGCAGAACGCCAGGCACTGCACCGGCACCGACAGGTCTGCAACACGGACGCCGTACGCTGCAGCACACGGGGGGCGGCAGGCGCCGGCAGGCCCAGCAGGAGCACGCTCGGCCGGGACACGCTGAGTACGACGGGTCAGAACACCCCGCATGACTCGGTGCCGCAGACCCTCCGGTGCAAGGAACAGCGGTACAAGGAATTGCTCAGCGTACGACTGACTGAAGAACTTACTGTACCTACTTACTCGCACAAGTGACTGAAGAATTCACTGCACTTACTACCTACATGAATGTGCTAGCCAGTTAGCCAGACGGAGTGCACCCTGCCACCCAGCGCTCCTGTCTCACCTATTTCTGGACGGAACATGCGTGGCGTAGCCCTGATGCCTTGGCGTGTACAGTGGATAATTGTGCCGCTGTCCGTGCTCACATATATGTGGCTAGGATCGGTCGGGTGGATGCGGAAGTCGTGCACTTCCGTGAACGTCTTCTGGCTGCTCCTGTCGACACGTCACTATCGTTGCCGAACGGAACTTAACACATATTTTAATTCGAGGTTATCTTTTAATTTGAGTTAACTGCGCAGACAAACGCAAGTTCAGAACGCACGCTGGCCCGATACTGGTACACGTTAGACACACAAACAGAAACAAGGACGAGAAACATACACCTCCTCTCCGCCAAACGCAAACAAATAGAATGTCAGTTTGACTAACGCATCCAGGAAGTCGTCGACGGTGACGTGGCTGATCTTGACCAGCTTGACCCTGCCCCAGGGCGCCATGCCAAGGTCGCCGTCCAGAACCTCGAGGTTGGCCTGCTGCCGCGCACTCATTGCCACCCAGAAGACGAGCCGGCCGGCCGCGTCCAGGCTACACATCTGCCAGCAACGCGCCCCACTCTCAGCGTCCGAGCCGGTCAGGGAGTTCTACACCGACCGACACACCACACAACACGCCCCATTGTCAGCGTCCGAGCCGGTCAGAGAGGTCGGCACCGACCGAGACAGCTGGGTCAGACAGGTCGGCATCGACCGACACACACCACACGGCACGCCCCACTCACAGCGCCCGAGTCGGTCAGACAGGTCGGCATCGACCTACAAACATACCACACAACACGCCCCACTGTCAGCGTCCGAGCCGGTCAGAGAGGTCGACACCGACCTACAAACATACCATACAACACGTCCCACTCAGCGTCCCAGCCGGTCAGAGAGGTCGACACCGGCCGACACACACCACACGGCGCGCCCCACTCTCAGCGTCTGAGCCCGTCAGACAGGTCAGCACCGACCAACACAGCTGGGTCAGAGAGGTCAGTACCAACCGACACACACCACACGGCACGCCCCACTCTCAGCGTCTGAGCCCGTCAGACAGGTCAGCACCGACCAACACAGCTGGGTCAGAGAGGTCAGTACCGACCGACACACACCACACGGCACGCCCCACTCTCAGCGTCTGAGCCCGTCAGACAGGTCAGCACCGACCAAGGCAGCTAGGTCAGAGAGGTCAGTACCGACCGACACACACCACACGGCACGCCCCATTCTCAGCGTCTGAGCCCGTCAGACAGGTCAGCACCGACCAACACAGCTGGGTCAGAGAGGTCAGTACCGACCGACACACACCACACGGCACGCCCCACTCTCAGCGTCTGAGCCCGTCAGACAGGTCAGCACCGACCAACACACAGCACACAGAGCAGCCACAGCTTCGGCAGCCGCGGCGTGTCACTGAGCCGCTCGGCAGGCCCCGCCCAGTGTGGACGTCTGCACACACGTCTGTCTCGGGCCGGAGTAGTCGCAGCTGACCGGACCAGAGCGGGTCAGTCTGGTGTCTGGCTGGGTCCACCCCGTTGCGACCGACGGAACTATCCACCAGTACGCACATTGAAGCGGCTTGACACCGCACGCCAGCCGCCTGACGCGGTGGCCTCGCCGTCCAGACACGCCGCCGCCGTACCTGGAATGAGCCGGGCTCGACGCCGGCCTCCTCGGCCTCGCCGCTGCCGACGGGCACCGGCCGCAGCGCCACCACCGGGTCGGTGTGCGCCTCGGCCCGGTGGATCTCGGCCGTGCTGTAGGTGGGCGAGCGAAGCGCGGCGCCGGCGGCCGGCCGCCGTGGGCCCGTATGCTCCGAGGCCGGCTCGTGCAGGTCCCACACGTCCAGCGAGCCGTCGGTGCACCTGGCCACGCGCTCAAGTTAAGGTCTGTCCGAGCACCTGCCCACGTGTTCAGGTCAAGGTCCGTCAGCGCATCTGTCCACGCGCTCAGGTTAAGGCCCGTTGGCCAGGCCAGATGTGAAGGCCAGGAGCCGGAGCCGGTCACGGCTAGACTGAATGTCAAGGGCGCAACGTTAAGGTCATAAGTCACATATGAAGGTCAAGAACTGCAAATCAAAGTCAAATATTACTGGTGACAGTTCACTTTTAACCCCTGACCCGAAACAGCCTTGGTGAATGTCAGGGGTCATGGGTACGGGTTATGGGCCAGATGTGTTAACAGGGGATCCGAGTAGGTCAGGTCAATGGTGGTCACGACTCAGGGGCGAAGGTCATGGGACTGGCATGATGACCAGAGGTCAGAGGAGTCAGAGACAAAGGTCAGGTGCCAGAGGTGGGGACTACGTGAGAGGTGAAGGTCAGGACTACCCGTGAGTGGCGTGGGGTCGGCGGTCATGCGGACAGGTCGGTACAGATGGGAGACGCAGACCATGCGACAGTCAAACGAAAGGACACATAAGGTTGGCGCAGGGAATCGCCAAAATGAACTACATTATATAAATCCAGCGCACGCCAAGCCATCTGGCGGCGCCACCAAACATGTCAGAGACACCTCGCAGCAGAATGGGAAAATACAACAATACAACGACAAGGTCACGGATTCGACGAAATATAAACGAACCATTTAATCACAACGAGTTGCACCTGAATAAATATTCAGGGTTACACTTTTACCGTTCCCCATCCCTTCCCGATCGTATTAAGTACACCGGTATGTGGTGGCCTCCCACTAAGATGGTGTGTCCAACTTGGTGCTAAACAAAACTGAACTAAACTGACTAACAGCGAAGTCCCACCCCCTGACGCCGTCGAGTGGCGGACCACGCTCACCCGGCGAACGCCAGGCGAGGCTTGACGGGCGAGAAGCAGCAGCAGACCGGCTGGGAGGAGGTGATCAGCACCTTCTGCGGCTGCGACGGCTCATTCACCGACCACACACATAGCAAGCCGTACTGGTCCACTACCGGCTCCTGGGGAACAACAGGTTGATGAGTGTGACCACTGAAGGGCCGTACGCACATCACACGCTAATGCCCGCTCACACACCCTCGGGAAGTGGAGCAGGCCACCGGTTTAAGGTTTCCGCGGGTAGATGAAGCCTTCAGAAATAAAATGGACACTTGCAGAATGCGTGATGCTTTCAAAGGACATCAGGTTAGCTTCCCAACTCATCTGGGATGACAGCTTGCTGAACGAAAAATACAAGCCACCTCGTTAGTCTAAGACTAATGAAAAAACAGCCCGACTCGTACACGGCCCACGCCGGCCGGCGCCCCAACACCCGCCGCTTAGCGGGAGCTATCACCTCCGCGTCGGCGGACCCCTCGTCGTCCGTCTTCTGCGCCGTCTCCTCGTCCGGCTTGTCTGCCGTCTTCTGCGCCGCGGCGGCGGCGGAGTCCCCACCGGCGGCCGCCCGTGCCCGGTGTGCCGTGACCAGCAGCTTGTTGTCCGTGTCGCAGAAGCTGAGGTGGGAGACCGACCGGCCGGCCAGCAGCTCCTTTATACCGTCCCCGAGCCGGACCGAGGCGCTGGTGAAGTTGAGGTGGCCAGCCGATGACTTGCTGTCCGGCTGGGCCGTGCGGGCCCGCTCCTCCTCCAACAGCATCAGCATACACTGCAGCCGAGGGTCAGCAGCGTCAGCATACGTTGTAGTGAAGGGTCAGCAGCATCAGCACACACAGCAGCCGAGGGTCAGGAGCCTAAGCAATGCAGCAGCGGATGGTCGGCAGCATCAGCACACACAGCAGCCGAGGGTCAGCAGCCTCAGCATACACTGCAGCCGAGTGTCAGCAGCATCAGCATACACTGCAGTGAAGCATCAGCAGCCTCGGCACACAACGCGGCTGAGATCTAGCAGCGTCAGCAAACAAGGACCTGATGAGATGTGTGCGGCGAGGGCGGGTAAAGCTATCGTAATTTGCAACAAATCTGACTGGTCATTAACTGATGCTTGGGTCGCGCAATGCTTGCTAACCCAATTGCCACCAATGGAACAAGACTGCGTAGCCCAAGCATAATTCAAGGGCGACAATTGCGACATGACCTCTGCAGGAGCCGCTGGAGAGTCGGTCGCGCCCCAAAGACTGCTAGTGACGCTCCGTATGACTCTGACTGCTCACCGATCCAGCGGCGCCCAGGAACTTGTTGAGTCTGATGGCGCTGCTCTGGCGCCGGTCCTCCATGTTCTCCTCGTCCTCCTCCATGTCGCCGCCCACCCCCATGTAGTCCTGGGGCCACACAGGAGGACTGGTGGCAGCGACCGCACGTCTACACCGCCCTCACACTGGACAGGGCGCAAGCTGGCAAGACCACGGATGCTGGACAACATTCAGACCACGTCATCTCCATCAGCATCGACCACGTCATCTCCAACACGCGGGAGCGGCAAGTCACGACGTCCCTGATGGGGCACTCACGTAGTAGGTCGGACCGCTGACAACCTCGCCCTCGTTGTTGGTCGTCACTTTGACGTCGAACTGGATCGGGTGCTGGGTCCACTTGACCCGCATCTTGACTTCATCCGTCTGCAGCTCCTCGGTGAGGTCGTCCTCGTTGGTCTGAGACGTTCCCTGCACGATCGAAAGGGATTTCCAGTAAGAGCTCAACCAAAGCGTTACCTATAGCTAAACCAGACGACCTGCTTGCGCGACGCGCAGTGCTTCACAAGGTAAGACATTTTTTTAAACCGCGATGATATAACTTAGCCTAGTGCTAATACGGGTAGCTCAGTCCTCACACCAGCCGATAATCAGGGTTTACAACACGGCAATAGTTTTATGTATGTGCATGCCCTTTGTGTCACAGTTCTTGTCATGACATTGTTACCAGTCAGTCCTGAAAAGCCAGCTGAACTGTTTTGAGATACCCTAACCAGCCCTGCCCCTGAAGCCTCTTAACACTTCACGTGCTAAGCCCTAGTGGCTTATATCCTAGCTCGCGAAGGATCATACACAGGTGGTTCCAACTTATCCCTGAAGTTCTTTTCATCAGAAACAGATTGCTCTAAGCTTTAAGTCCAACGACGACCTAAGGGGGAAAACGCGAACTCCATCGGATCAACCTTATTTAATTTAGTTATGTCAGCATTATGTTCTTCACAAAACTCGGATGTACGGTTTTCAGTTAACACAACAAATCACAGAAATGGTACGATTTGAATGGCATAGTTGGTAGTTCAATGGTGAATCTATTGAAATGCTTCGGTTGTTCACCGTCTTCCATGTTAGATTAATGAAGCTCTCTTCTTCTTTGACTCAAAACCATTGGACCAACTACGTGATGTTATTAAATCACACACTCGATCCACTTTCTTATTGTCAATCATTCGTTGTTGTTATTCCATTCGACCCAACCTGTTCGCAAATTGTGCTGAGGGTGCGCCTTGATGTTTGCAACACAGTGTATGGTGGATATATGTCCTCTTCAGACAAATGCTGCCTATTTCATGGCTAGAAGACAGGCCTTCCCAAACCTCGCTAATAAAAGTAACGCATTTAGGTGAACAATGCAGACCATCTGATGACATCACATTCCACTACGCTTTACGCTTAGCTGCGATTCTCTTCCGCATAGACTTTGGACAAAAATAAGTTCAGTGAACGCGTAACAACTGCCTATCATGGATGTCTTGGCAAGGTGGCAGTTCGTGGTCAGCTCAAATTAGCGCGCGGTGGTCAGCAGGCTACTTTGGTAGCGCGATTTCATGCATTCCCTCGCCAAAATTTGTTCTCTTCGACCCCAACGCCACGCTCAAGACGATGCTTCTCCACTTCCCTCCAGTCAAACATATTCACATTCGATTATTGGCACTGCTATAGGAGTGTCAGAGGCTGACCTTGCTACCTGATTGACGAACAAATCGAACGACAACAATATGTGATTAATGTTAATGCTGTATGCGATCGGGTTGCCGGCCTACGATACACTTCTAATGCAGATCAGACCCGGCAAGCTCATAGCTCGCAGTTTAGTGCAAGGAACCTGCTGAGGACTGGCGCGTACACCTGTATCAGTGCTATTGTGCGATACACTAAGCGAATATTGCCTTGTTCCAATGAGCCGGCGCCGCGGCAGTCCAATGATGGTACACCACCCAAACACATTCTCAGCAAAAGCCCTTGGTAAGCTGATAATTTGAATGATATTCAGCCCGCATCACAGCCTTAGTGGCGACTCTTCGAATGACCAGAAGTTAAGCATGTGCAATGACAAAGCTTATCCCGAGGCGGACGTTATGATATTGACCAGTCGAAAATACTTTGCAAGCTCGTCCTCCAGACGACCTTTACTTATTTCGGCGGCCCAATTTATCACTTAGGATCAACTTTGAGCCACATGCGCTGAAGCCTGTCAATTGTTTACGCTACCCAAAGAAGCAAAACAAAATGAAAAAATCACGCCGAAAGGCGTCAAAAACAACACAAGCCTTCAAATATTCTCGAAATCAGGTACTGCCTGAGAGTTCCAAATTTACAAATGTTGATTGAGAAAAAGCACGCTTACTATTCTATCACTAATGACGGACGACACTTACTTTTTGCAGAAGCTGACACTACCAACAGGTACTCAGCGTGTCACGCCAAAACAATCAGCTGTTTGCTAGCCATTTTTCTAAATTTGCCTATTTCAGGAAACATTTTCTGTTCAGTTGACTTAATGACTGTTACACTCACAAGTTCGGGTGCATTTTGTCCGAATTTTGATTCAAATCTGAGGCACCTGAACTCATGTGAAACCGTATTCATTCAAGGCACCTCAATTATAACTCATGAAGAAACACGCAACAGAACGTCCCGTGTGTAATACATGAAAAGTTCGCGCACCTTAACATGCGTAAGCTTACTGCGTCTTACTCATGAACGGACAGTTAAGCACGATGAGACGGACAGTCACGCGCTATCAACAATCGTTCTGGATGCGCGAGTGGTGCCGCGCGATGCCTAGGTCCGTTCCAGTGCGCGCCACCAGCCCCAGCCGGTCTCACCTGCTGCATGCCGGATTTGCCGAAGTTGGCCATGATCTGGTCATAGGAGGCTGGCTCCAGCTCGAACAGGTCAAAGTCCTGCTCGAACAGCTCGATCAGCGACAGTAGCGCCCGGCCGCGACCCTCGCGCTTCCGCGCCGACTGCGAACACAAAACACATCAGCACTCGGCGCCGGTCCGGACCGACGCAGTGCCGGCCCTACGACCGGTCAGGGCGCGCTCCATCCTAAACCCATAAACTAACGACAGATGCGAGTGCCAAGGTGGACATTCTCTCTCTCCCTCTCTCTCCTCTTCTCTCTCCCTCTCCCTTTCCCTCTCCCTTTCCCCTCTCCCTTTCCCTCCCCAGCCCTTCCTTTCCCTTCTCCCTCTCCTTTCCCTCTCCCCTCCTCTCCCTCCCTCCCCTCTCTCCCTCTCCCTCTCCCCCCTCTCTCCTTCCTCTCCCTTCCCTGCCCCTTCCCTCATCCCGCTCTCCCTCTTTTTCTCTCTTCTCTCTCTCTCCTCTCTCTCTCTCGCTCTCTCTCTCTCTCTCGACAACCATTCCCAGGTAACAGACACCCTTCTAGTGGGCTATGGGTAAGCAAGTTACATTGTCTGGGCCAAAGAGCGTTACTGGTGATGCAGGCAAATTTCACTGACTTTTTTCCGCTGTTGATGCTTCTTGGCGCTGGAGAAATTTACAGAGCGAACTGGCTTGGGCTTATCATGTGGTCTTTCACCACTTCTGGTGATCTTCCTCCTCATCAGTAAAGTTAACTGCCCTGGAGGGTGGCCGCGTCTTCGCCTTAATAGGCGACTGTAAGGTTATGAGCCTTTCTTCTGTTTGTGAAACTCAACCCTGTAAAATACAAAGCATGCCATACATGATCGGCTCGCTGAACTGACGAGGAGTAAACCGCAGTAACCTCCATGGCAGCATCTTGATGAAACAAGCATGGCTGGCACACATTACATATCCGCATTAATATCCGTGGAGATCAGTGGCGTGCCACAAGCCAACATTGGAGGTGTAGGTCCCAGGCACACTACAGGAGCAAACGGAGCGTATTCACCTGACACAAACAAAATTTGCTGGAAGATACCGCCGGCATTTACGATGCGATGAAAGGTCAGATCTGCTCCTTCCATGCTTGAGTCGCAATTACACAACGTTTGTGATAGTCTGTTGTGCGGCTAGGATTGAAGCCTAAGCGAATAGCCTTTGCTAGGACGGAGGGAAGGACCTGACACAATGAACAATAAACAGCCATAATCCCAGCTTTTTTCCCGCAAGGCCCAATGTGTATAAAGCACCAGCCGGACAAACACGAAGGTGAACTGTGACATGAATGTTATGATAGAACTGTGACATAAATGTCAAGATAGAACTGCGACCTGAATGTCATGATAGAACTGTGAGATGAATGTCATGACAGAACCGTGAGATGAATGTCATGATAGCATGGCACATCTCCAGGCTAGCCTCAGACCGCGCCACATCGTCCCACTGTTAGGCAAGTCACCCCACTGAGCACACCACCGGCCAAAGTTGGCTGTCAACACCTCACCCGTTCTGCAGTAAAGCGGGCTGCACGGTCCGGAGAGGGACACCGCAGCGCCAGCAACGACGCTGCTTCTACCCCTCCTCAAACCCACCATGCCACACTCACGCATCGAACTTCTCGGCCTGCTGGTTCTCGCTGTCGATGGCCTTCTTGAGCTCGGCCGGGTCCCACATCTGCTGAGCCTGAGGCCCGGCCGGCGGCGCGTACTCCTTGCGTCCTCACGGCCGTGGCCAGCTTGCGCGATGTGCGTGTCCGGGTTCTTGGCGGAGTTCAGGACCTGAGGAGAGGACCCGGAGAGGACGGAGGAAAGGTCAGGATCGGGACCGGAGTCGGAATCGGAGTCAGAGTCATCGTCGTCGTCGTCGTCCTCATCATCATCATCGTCATCATCGTCGTTCTCCTCTTCCGAAGTCTCATCTTCTTCATCGTCCTCCTCAAAGTCCTCCTCGAAGTCGTCGTCGTAATCCTTATCATGAAAATTCGATATGAGTGAATCATTTAAAAACAGGCAGATCTTTTTTCTTGCGCATGAGCCTTTTAAAATTGGCTTAGACGCTGCAGCGCAATACCGCCGTATCCCAGGACGGCGGCATACGGGTTCCACAGCACATTCATATTGCAAATGCATGCCATGTTGTACCGCCTGCCATTTCAATGCAAATCACCGCTATCCACACGATACGGCTGACGTCAAGCCGTGCTAACTATGCTATAGAACGCAAGCAACAAGTTTGAGCATAACTACCTTTGCATCATATCATGAAACAACGATGTCAGCGTTAACGGGATGTAAGACCAGACAAAAACACTAACATAACACTAACACCAGCATACCCGTACTAAAACAGGACCAGCATGATTATTGTAAAAAAAAAAACACCAGCATACCCGAACTAAAACAAGACAAACATGATTATTGCAAACTAAATTTTCCACAGCTGTCGGTTCACCTGTA